TGCCCCCCCCCTAAAAAATTTCTGGGGTTGCCTCTCGCCTGTCCGACGTTGACCCGTTTGGCGCCGCTGCTCCTCTCTACGGCGCGCCTCCACCGTCTCTTCCCACGGACGCCGATCCATCCCGGCCTGTATCTCCTTCCAAGTCCAGGATCCTTTCCCGTCCAATATCTCCTCCCATGTCCAGTCCAAGTTCTGCCCTGGGACACGCTGCTTGGTCCTTACTTGGTGGGTTTTTCTGTCACGATCGTCGTAGGGAATAGACCAAGGCGCAGCGTGATGAACGAACATGTTTAACTTTATTATCTTTAGTGATAATAGACAACAATAAACAAAACAAGAAACGACTCGTGAAGTCCACGGTAACAATGACCAACACGGAACAAAAACCCACAAACACAAAGGGAAAACAGACAGTTTAAATATGGCTCCCAATCAGAGACAACCAACGACAGCTGACACTCGTTGTCTCTGATTGGGAGTCACTCTAACCAACATAGAAATAAACACAACAGAATGAACACACCCTGGCTCAACATATAGAGTCCCAGAGCCAGGGTGTGACAATTACAGGAAAATAAACTTACAAGATCATTATTTACAAGTTAATGGCGAGCTAATTACAGAAGCTTACGGTTGTGAGTGGGACGAAATAAAAGCAGGGCATTCTACCAGAGAATTTTAGAACTTGGACACTGCCTCATTGATCTAACGTTATATCCTAATTTGACTTTGATGCAAGGTCATGCTGTTCATGTAAAATAAAATAAAACTATCCTGTGCATGTGACAAAGTTTATTTGTCACATGCACAGGATACAGAAGGTGTAAACGGTGCAGTGAAATGGTTACTTGCATAGTGGAGTCTTTTGTTTAGACATGTAGATAGCTAGCTAGCTAAACAATGAACCATAATCCCAACTCATAACGTTACTACCCTGCATGAATCTACAGGTAGCTAAACCCTAACCAACTAGGTTCAATGTTAGCTGGCTAGCTAACATTAGGCTATAACTAGCAATGCAAATGGCTCTGAGATATGAATAATATTACTACACAGATCATACACGTAACGTTAGCTAGCGAACCAGCCAGCCTGCCAGCTAACGTTAGCTAGCTAGCTAACAGTACAGTTTAACTTGCAATGAAAACGACTTTCTGACAAAATTAGAAACTTATAATATCTGAAAATGTAGCTAGCTAGACTCTCTTACCCGTATACATGGATGAACGATTCTCGCTCTCTGTCACCGATGCTATGGTTGCCCTTAGTTTGAAGATGTAATCTGGAGACAGGTGTTTTATACAACAGCCTTCTGTGTTCTCTTTTTGACTCCCTCCACATTTGCAATCAAACGCCTGAATTTGATTTCATTCCACTGATTTCAAAACTCGGTCCTCCAGAAAGTGGAGAGCTATCTTTAAAAAAAAAATCAGCGTTAGAAAGGATTACCTACACATGCTGAGCAGCTCATTATAGACAGAAGCGTTGACATGGCAGACCAATCCGAACTCATCTCTCGGCATGTCCAGGCCATCCATTATCTCAGCCAATCATGGCTAGCGGGAAGGTTCCTGTCTTTTTCCGTGGCTGAACCAACTAGTTTAATAATTTCACAATTTTATTCATATTTACATATGGCATACAAGTTTGTTATTAAGGCACATTACATTTCACATGTTCCAGAAGGCATTTCTGACAAAAACCGCATTTTGATACAAAATAAATGTTTACGTTCAAATGCCTCTCCTGTGAAGTAGTGATGTGCGACATAAGCCTAGTTTCCTGAAACGAGTCACACATTATTTCTTACCCCCGGTGTCTTACTTGCTGAAGGCCCCAGTCATCCCTGCATGTACCTGACATTGTTGAAAAACAAGTGAACAATGAATAAACATCATACACAATTTACAAACAATAGGCTCCTAGAATAGGTTATATTACGTTCAACTTTTGCTCAAAGCAGCCAATTAAAGTAATGTAGTTAACGTAAGTTCAATCACAAAGGCTGGTCTGAGTGCCTCTCCTCACAGTTTTATTCAGTAGTACAACACAATTCACATTGCATTTTATCATGGGCACAGTGGGAATGTATATCTTTGATGTTTAAATTATGGCTTACCCCCAGAGTGAGAGAGCATGAGAGAGAGAGTACATCACTTCCAGCAGATCTCCTTGCTGAGGGTGGGGTTGATCATGCACTGCTTCTAGTGTTGTGAGCCTGTCATGCCTCATGTCGAAAACATGGGGAAAAGGGGACATAGCCAAAATGTTGTCCTTTGGTCTGGAGTCCAAATTTGAGATTTTTGGTTCCAACCTCCGTGTCTTTGTGAGACACGGTGTGGGTGAACGGATGATCTCCACATGTGTATTTCCCACCGTAAAGCATGGAGGAGGAGGTGTTATAGTGTGGGGGTGATTTGCTGGTGACACTGTCTGTGATGTATTTAGAATTCAAGGCACACTTAACCAGCATGGCTACCACAGCATTCTGCAGCGATACGCCATCCCATCTGGTTTGTGCTTAGTGGGACTATCATTTGTTTTTCAACAGGACAATGACCCAACACACCTCCAGGCTGTGTAAGGGCTATTTGACCAAGAAGGTGAGTGATGGAGTGATGGATCAGATGACCTGGCCTCCACAATCCCCCGACCTCAACGCAATTGAGATGGTTTGGGATGAGTCGAACCACAGAGTTAAGGAAAAGCAGCCAACAGGTGCTCAGCATATGTGGGAACTCCTTCAAGACTGTTGGAAAAGCATTCCAGGTGAAGCTGGTTGAGAGAATGCCAAGAGTGTGCAAAGCTGTCATCAAGGCAAAGGGTGGCTATTTGAAAAATCTCAAATATAACATATATTTGGATTTGTTTAACACTTTTTACTACATGATTCCATATGTGTTATTTCATAGTTTTGATGTCTTCACTATTATTCTACAATGTAAAAAATAGTAAAAATAAAGAAAAACCCTTGAATGAGTAGGTGTGTCCAAACTTTTGACTGGTAGTGTATATCATTTTGTTATGCTCAGTGTTCCAAACGGGACAGTATTTGTATTTTTTACCTAAATATGCAAACACTATCAGATAGAATTCATAGCAAGCAGTGCACTGGATTAGTCAGATTTGATTAAATATAACCGAACAGATTAACTGGAATGACATTCACTCTCACGGGATGGGTTGCCAAAAAGAAATAACTGAAAGCCACACCCTCAATAAGCCAGGAATATGACAGCATTGAGGCATGTGTCACTGTGCTTCTATGGCTTAATACACCATGCCACTGTGTATTACACTTGTTCATTTAGCAAACAAGAAATCTCATAATCCAGTGACTTTATCACAGTCAACACACCTATATTTTAGCTTTAATTAACTTTAAAAATGCAACATTTTCTCTCAGTCTCATGGCCAAATGTGTAGAATAGCATGAGATGAGCTATAAAACTGTACATTTGTCACTTTGCCCCATGGCAAAATGTGTGAAATTGCAGGAAGTTAGCTGTTTTTTTTTGCAGGCCCACCCACCAATTAATTTCTGTCTACGCCACTGCTTCCAACATTATAATTGAAATAGGAAGTGTAAACTCTAACATATCCTATTTGCTAGAAATGTAACTCCAAACACATTTTTGCTAATAACAGCTTTTTAGCTGGTTAAACAAAGGTTAGCCATGTGTTGGCAAAAATGTATGTCCAAGTCAAGAAAGCATGCCAGCAGCCAGCAGCACTTGCTGCTGTCATATACTCCAGTGAGTGTAATTAGCTCCAATGAGTGTAATTTGCTCAATATTAGGAATTGAGAAATACAATAAGATTACAAATAAGATATTCTTATATTTTATACTGCATGTATCTAATTCAAAATGCGTTTATTTTGTTGTTGCTAGTAATATTCAGAAAAACATAGAAAAAAATATATATATATAATCCATTTTTTTTTATTTAATTTTTTTTACAATTTATTCAAAAATATAACTATTTTCGAGGACCCCTTGCAGTACCTCCGTGGGCCCCAGGTCGAATACCCCTGCTCTAGAGACTAGTGGAGATGCCTGCATGATAATTAATATATTGACGGAAAACAGCCACATGGTGTCACAAGTGTGCTCTGCACTTCATGACATTGTGAGTTCATGCACTGAAAATGAATTTAACAGTCTTGTCTTGGAAATATATCATTTGTGTAGCTTACAAAGATGACGTTCATTGCTTTATATATACTGTTATTGTAACACCACAAAATATGTATACTTCATTGTATTATATATATTTTTCAAAATAATATTTTCGTTATTTTCAACATACTGATCCCTGAAGAGAAATAGGCTTCTTTATGTTAGTTTGGATAGAGTAGACCAACTGACAAAAGTTATGACAGAGTTTGGATAGAAACAAATCTATGTCGGTAGGCTAACTGATGAACAGCTATACACAAAATACAGTACAGCGCAAACAAGACTGTGTAAACGTGAATAATTGCAGGAGACTGGTTTGGTGTGTGTATCTATGGAGGTGCTGGGGCCTAGTTTAGCTCATTTAAATCTTAGCCACACAAGATGTATTGGCAATTTCATTTACACAACAGTGAGAATGTAACTACTACTGTAAATCTTGTAAATCAAATATTGCAAGTTGTAGGCTAAGGAGTGAAACTTTTGGATTGGATTTATGTTTGTTTCTCTAATCCATGTTAAAGGTTATAAAATATTCTGTAATTAATTGGTCAAATTACATTTGTTCATTCCAATTTGAAAACCATTAGCCCTATATGTGGCCAAACAAAATACAATCATGAGGATGACAAGATGTTCTAAAATTATTTCCATTTATTTGCGAACTGTTTGAAACTTGAAATCGTTTGTAACAGTTCGGGGGACAGTGTCTAGGCAAATGTTTTTCTACGCAAATTTCCACCTGCGAGTTGGCTCTCTCATTGGTTGAAACCACAGTCAGATTCCTGCACAACATTATCTGATTGAAAATCAGGGAGGGGAGCAAAAGAAAGAGAGCAACAAGTGTGATGTCTTACAGTGGTTTGGATTCTGACTTTTGCGAAATGATTTTAGGAAATATTTATTCTTCGACAGATTGGATGCTGTTTTAAGACTGGGGAAATAATTTACCTAGCCTATATAATAAGAGCACTATCCTCCCTACTTCTTATAAACAAACGGTAAGTAGGCTACTGCAGGTGCACAATATTATAACGAATTTTCCCTGTAGCCTATTATTAGAAACATTTTATATTAATAATTTGAAGAATGAAAATGACGATGGATTCATGAAGACTATAATGGAATTAATACATTTTACAATAAGCTTATCCAAGTCAGTGATGTTTTAAACATAATTAGCCAATCATATGCTTTTGGAAAGAAAACGCTTTGAATTTCTGTCTTTTACAGCGTTATATTTCAGGATACATACATAGTTAAATAGATAATTGAAAAAGGCCTACTGATAGATCATTCTCTTGTATTGGACTTCACAGCATATTCCGGAAATGAATTAGTGAGAAAGTGTGAAAGTATTTGGTTATTTTATTGTTTAAAATATTTACATTTAAAACATGAGTGTTAACATATAGTTAAACAACCTACATTGACTGAATTTACACATATGACACAATATGTCTAAGAATAATGTAATGGTCATTTAATTATTGTTTCCCTCGCTCAGAATAGCTCCATCAAAATTTTTATATCAGCCTACCTAAAAATCTTGAAAGTTTACAGACTAATAAACTGTACATTATAAAATGTTAGGCCTAGCCCTACATAAAAACATTTAGAGTCGTCTATAAGCATTTATCATAATAATTTTTTCCAACAGCGTTGTCATGCCACGATCCTTTTTGGTGAAAAACAAGAGGTGCGCATCTTACAATGTGCACCGCTCTTACGAAGACGAAGCCGAACCGAGGGAACCTGAATTTACAAGTAAGAATGTCAATATTATCATGGCGACACAACAAGACTTTTACAACTGTATAATGACAAGTGTATAATGATTTGCCAGTTATTTCATGCATTGCAGTTTATAATGAATCAATTGACACAGTCACAATACCATGTTTAGATTTCCTGGTGATTTATTCACATCCCTGTCCATCATAGACTAGTCATTTTTAATTATCTGATTAAATAAAGGCTATTGCTAAAAATACATTATAATTTAGATTTATTTGACTTGAGGAAAGTGAATCCATAATGATGCATTGCAGCATAATTTTATGTTAAACATCATCATAGAAAATGCATTACATTTGAGGACAGATGCAACACCTGATGGACTAGAAGTATCTCCAAAGCAAGGGAAATATACTTGGACTGTTATTGATGTTTGGATTTGTCAGTGCATTCATGCTTCACTGAATTCCTTGAATTCATTGGAGTTATTGAAACTAAGTGGTTAGGGCGGGTTTCACAGATATGCAAAAGAGACATTATTCTGAAGGATTATAAAACTTCAGTCTACACTGTACATTTATGTACATCTTGACAGACAAAATATTTTGACTTTATGTTGACACTCAATTAATCATATTTGCAATTGTGAATTGACAGGTGTGATCTCGTCAGAACCACAGAGTCCAGAGTCTCCAGTCAGGCCTCAGTCAGTGGGTCAGCCCTCCCCTCCTGACCCAGACCCCTATTCTAACATCAAACCAGAGCAGGAGCCTGAACGCCAAGTCCCCTCTTACCCTAAACCAACAGGATACCCTGTTGGCCCTGCTCCACAGCCATACTACTTATCAGGTGAGAGACTCTCCAACTGGGCTGGGATGTTGTGAAGGGATGACATGATGTCCCACAAAAATTGTTGGGAATAGAATAGAAAATAGTAGAACCTTATTGGTCCTAAATGGGACAACATATGATTCAGAAGGTTTTTCAGAGGAAGTGTTCATTGACTCAATTCTCTTATTCCGTCTACCCTCAGAGGCTCACATGGCAGAGTTCCCTCCCTTCTACAAGCCCTCCTACACCTGGGACCCTGTACATGCACCCTATGATATCCGTCAGATGGGCTTCCCCCCCTCCCTCCTGCAGCACGCCAGCAACCTGTACGGTGCTCACGTCAGCCACAGCCCTAAGCCACAGCAACCTCTAGACTGCAGCACACACTACTCACTCACCTCTGACACTTATCACTGCACAACCTGTGACAAGGTACGTATGCAGGAGTGGAGTCACAGCTTTCTCTTTACACTGTGTGACTGACAATAGCTAATGGGCCTATACAGAATTAAACTGCCACAACACACAGCATACAAAGATTTCACAAAGCCACCAGAGGGAAAGTTGTGCATGTGTTCACATATCCCTATTCAAAACACCACATCTTTTAAATTCATCAGTCTTTAAATTGACATCGATATTGTGACTAGCCGGTTGATAACTCCCCTGTCCTCCTCTGCCACGGCAGGTGTTCTCAACCCCTCATGGTCTGGAGGTTCATGTCAGACGCTCCCACAGCGGGACCAGACCATTCGGCTGCAGCATCTGCAGGAAAACCTTTGGCCACGGCGTCAGCCTGGAGCAACACATGAATGTCCACTCACAGGTACTCACAATGCACAGTGTCTGGTTGGAGATTAAGGAAACAAGACAGACAACCAGATATGTGTACTCTGGCACAGTGCCAAAATTGTCTAAGTTCTGTGTGTACTTCCATGGAAAAGTAGCCCAGGGTACTTGAATGAGAATTATAATATTTGAAATGTGATGATAAAATCACTTTTTTATTGCACAGCAGGAAATGCAAACGTGTAGTGCATTCAAGGTTTAAAAAGGCATCTAGCCTCCCGAGTGGCGCAGCGGTCTAAGGTACTGCATCGCAGTGCTTGAGGCGTCAATACAGACCCGGGTTCGATCCCGGGCTGTGTCGCAGCTGGCCGCGACCGGGAGACCCATGTGGCAGAGCACAATTGGCCCAGCGTCGTCCTGGTTAGGGGAGGGTTTGGCTGGCAGGGATGTCCTTGTCCCATTGCGCTCTTGCAACTCCTGTGGCGGGCATGCATGCTGACATGGTCACCAGTTGTACAGTGTTTCCTCCGACACATTGGTGCGGCTGGCTTCCGGGTTCAGCAAGCAGTGTGTCAAGAAGCAGTGCGGCTTGGCAGGGTCGTGTTTCGGAGGACGCATGGCTCTCGACCTTCGCCTCTCCCGAATCCGTACGGGAGTTGCAGCGATGGGACAAGACTGTAACTACCAATTGGATATCACGAAAAAGGCATCTAAAGATTGTAATTTCCACTTTAAAATGTCAGACTTGATTTGCCATAAAGAAAATGTATCAACCCCTACAGAAAAATGTCCATTAAATATTATCCACATATAATTCACATTTCCTGTTGCTGCAGGATTATTTTCCTGCTGTAACAAACTAGCTCAAATTAAGATCCTACATCTGTACATGTTTCTTTAAACAAAGGAAAGAAGTTTTGAATGCAAGATGTGTGGAAAGACGTTCAAACGCTCCTCCACCCTCTCCACCCATCTACTCATCCACTCAGACACCAGGCCCTACCCCTGTCAGTACTGTGGAAAGAGATTCCACCAGAAGTCAGACATGAAGAAACACACCTACATCCACACAGGTGAGGAGAGAAGAGCATCCACATAGCACCAAAGTTAGGGATTCAATTACTTATTTGAGTGTGTTGTAATTTCTCAGAAAACTAAAAGGCAACTTTAGCGATTGCCTCTCTCTGTAGTTCTCTGCTTTCTAGGTGCTATTAACATGAATTGTTTCCAAGAGTAATAACTACTGATAAATCAGAAAAAGAAACTTAAACAAATGTCCATCTGATTTGCATATCTGGTTTTCCTACTTTGCCGAGGCCTCTGTGAAAGGAACTCTGTGTAGGCAGACTATGTCTCAAATGAATGTTTGACAAATCTGAACAATGGCACGATTATTTCCTCCCAGTCATTGATACTGACTTCAGCTTTACAGCACATCTATACTGTACCTTATGCGTTACATGTTATCTGTTTTTATACTAGATGGGGAATGCAATATCGCTCACATGTAGGGGCATCAATACAAAATGAAACTGTGATATTTTATTATGATCGATTTGATGCCACAGTTTAAACATGTTTTTGAATGTGTCTATTTAGGTGAGAAGCCCCACAAATGCCAGGTGTGTGGCAAGGCGTTCAGCCAGAGCTCCAACCTCATCACACACAGTCGTAAACACACAGGCTTCAAGCCCTTCGGCTGTGAGATCTGTGCCAAGGGCTTCCAACGCAAGGTGGATCTCCGCAGACACCATGAGAGCCAACATGGCCTGAAGTGAAGCGGTTGAGAACAATGGATGGAGAAGAGGAGGAAGAAAACGTGCCTTACACCCTTAGCAAAGCATTATAGCAAAGAAAGAAAAGAAAGACCAAACATGATGTCCCAAACATGATGTCACACAAAAATGGCCCCTACGGACACAATAATTGTACGTGTATAGTACTGAATATTATCCTTATTGTGAAAACGCATTTTTAAGTCAATCAGAGCCGGCAGCTAACCAGTAGAAATAAGACAATGCAAATGATGAAGGTACTTAAGTATTTGCTATCACTTAAGGAGGAACAGTAGCCTGACTGACGTGACTACACAGCGAGGAAGAGGACTTTGAGAGCTGGTGTCAGTCAGACTAGAGGAACAGCCCTTTGGAATAAAATCGAATTCAACTGATATGCATCCTTTGGGGTCATTATGATGTTGTAGACTTATCAGAGGCCTTTGAAGTCAAATGTGAAGAGAGATAGGTCTCATGATTTTGTTGCATAATGTATTTAAGAAAAAGCTTTATATGTTCACAAACAGTATGTGTGCCATTCATATTTATGAATTAATATTATGTCAAATAAAATGAAGCAATGGTATGTATGAATGAACAAAAGCTCTCAAAATAAACTGAGATGTTATTGTGAACCTCGTCATTGTTGTGAGGTGTGGAGAAAAGAAAACTCACACTCCGCCCATATTTAACTTAATCATACATTCAATCTCATGTGACAAATAAACAAACATTCCGAAGAAGAAAAACACTGTCAAACGGTAAAAAACACGCATTGTGTTAGCTTAGTAAGATGAGATGGCTCATGGTACAGATGTAGGATCTTAATTTGAACACTCTTTTGTTGCTGAGAATGAAAACGTGTAGTGTATTCAAGGTTTAAAAAAAGCTTCTAAAGTTTGTAATTTCCACTTTAAAGTGTCAGACTTGATTTGCCCTAATGAAAAATGTATCAGCCTCCACAATTTTTATTTATTTATTATAATCAACAGATTCATTCACATTTCCTGTTGCGACAGGATTAGTTTCCTGCTGTATAGCAAACTGGATCAAATTAAAATCTGTAAACCTAGTCTTTATGTGTGACCGTTTCGCCATAGGGCAAGTTGCACGCAGACAGTCTTCCAACTGTCTATGTAGCAGTCCTTTGCAAGGATGAACTCATGTTGCCTGGGGTAGAAATCTCTAGTATGACCAGTGAGAGATAGAGTCAGGCGTCATTCAAATCTATACCTGGAACAACATGCAAATCCACCAGGTTCTCAAATGTCACACAGCCAAAGGAATGGACTTTCCATGCATGCCACCATGCTCACCAAAGAGAGTAGAGGGCGGAAATGAAATGTGTATTTCTCATTCTTGATCAATCCCCCCAATTCTTCCAAAATCTCAGTCACTAATGTACAAACTGCTTAGGCCTTCCTCATGTATGATACATGTTCTTCACACCCGTAAGCAAATGTCTGCACATTCAGTTTAATCTAGTAAGTCACACTGTTGGTCTTCAAGTGCGAAGAAGTGTATTCCCTCTATGTTGTGATTTGGGATATACTGTATAACAACAGACAGACAGAGGATAGAGTACTCAAACACCCTGTCCCCATACTGTACCACACCCATCCATTCTGATGGGTTTGCTTTGACAAACACATTGCACTTCTCACGAAGACACCACCTTCCTCAAACACCAGATCCAGTTAGGCCATTTAAGCTGTTACAGGCAAATCAGATCATTGCTTAGTTAAATATGTCTTATACTATAGAAGTAGCTGGCCAAGTATTACTCATATACAGTGGGGAGAACAAGTATTTGATACACTGCCGATTTTGCAGGTTTTCCTACTTACAAAGCATGTGGAGGTCTGTAATTTTTATCATAGGTACACTTCAACTGTGAGAGACGGAATCTAAAACAAAAATCCAGAAAATCACATTGTATGATTTTTAAGTAATTCATTTGCATTTTATTGCATGACATAAGTATTTGATACATCAGAAAAGCAGAACTTAATATTTGGTACAGAAACCTTTGTTTGCAATTACAGAGATCATACGTTTCCTGTAGGTCTTGACCAGGTTTGCACACACTGCATTAGGGATTTTGGCCCACTCCTCCATACAGACCTTCTCCAGATCCTTCAGGTTTCGGGGCTGTCGCTGGGCAATACGGACTTTCAGCTCCCTCGAAAGATTTTCTATTGGGTTCAGGTCTGGAGACTGGCTAGGCCACTCCAGAACCTTGAGATTCTTCTTACGGAGCCACTCCTTAGTTGCCCTGGCTGTGTGTTTCGGCTGGAAGACCCAGCCACGACCCATCTTCAACGCTCTTACTGAGGGAAGGAGGTTGTTGGCCAAGATGTTGCGATACATGGCCCCATCCATCCTCCCCTCAATAAGGTGCAGTCGTCCTGTCTCCTTTGCACAAAAGCATCCCCAAAGAATGATGTTTCCACCTCCATGCTTCACGGTTGGGATGGTGTTCTTGGGGTTGTACTCATCCTTCTTCTTCCTCCAAACATGGCGAGTGGAGTTTAGACCAAAAAGCTCTATTTTTGTCTCATCAGACCACATGACCTTCTCCCATTCCTCCTCTGGATCATCCAGATGGTCATTGGCAAACTTCAGACGGGCCTGGACATGCGCTGGCTTGAGCAGGGGGACCTTGCGTGCGCTGCAGGATTTAAATCCATGACGGCATAGTGTGTTACTAATGGTTTTCTTTGAGACTGTGGTCCCAGCTCTCTTCAGGTCATTGACCAGGTACTGCCGTGTAGTTCTGGGCTGATCCCTCACCTTCCTCATGATCATTGATGCCCCACGAGGTGAGATCTTGCATGGAGCCCCAGACCGAGGGTGATTGACCGTCATCTTGAACTTCTTCCATTTTCTAATAATTGCGCCAACAGTTGTTGCCTTCTCACCAAGCTGCTTGCCTATTGTCCTGTAGCCCATCCCAGCCTTGTGCAGGTCTACAATTTTATCCCTGTTGTCCTTACACAGCTCTCTGGTCTTGGCCATTGTGGAGAGGTTGGAGTCTGTTTGAGTGTGTGGACATGTGTCTTTTATACAGGTAATGAGTTCAAACAGGTGCAGTTAATACAGGTAATGAGTGGAGAACAGGAGGGCTTCTTAAAGAAAAACTAACAGGTCTGTGAGAGCCGGAATTCTTACTGGTTGGTAGGTGATCAAATACTTATGTCATGCAATAAAATGCAAATTAATTACTTAAAAATCATACTATGTGATTTTCTGGATTTTTGTTTTAGATTCCGTCTCTCACAGTTGAATTGTACCTATGATAAAAAAATGACAGACCTCTACATGCTTTGTAAGTAGGAAAACCTGCAAAATCGGCAGTGTATCAAATACTTGTTCTCCCCACTGTATATTCAAGTCCCACTGTATGCTCTATCCCATTATTAGAGTTTTCAAGTCTCTTAGCCTCAAAAACTGATTTCAACCTGAGTTTAACCACCACACAACCATACACAGAGGAATTACCAGGAAAGATATTTCAGTTGATGAAGAATACTTACTGAAGGTAAGAAATACAACACACATACACATGGACATGGTCACAACAGCAGTATGAGTTTATGTTGCGGAGTTGTTACAGAAATCAGTGTCCTGGTGTGGAATAAAACAGGCAGCCTGTCCACTGTCTGGTACAGTTGGTAAACAAATCTGTGGTGCCATGCAAATTAGTATTGATATTACCTAGGCAACGGGGTCAGTTGTGCTCAGGAGGAACAGTTAGGGCTGCATCCTGGTGTGAGGATACTGAGCAAATCAAAATCCTGCACAGGTAGCCAATGGCAGAGATAGGAGCAGGACGGGTAGGCCTAAACAAACAGGATATGGGTCCTGCAGAGGAGGGGCGGGGCCCAGACTGTAGCCTGGGGGGAAAAAACGGGGGAAATTTGGGGACCAGGTCCACACACACGCATCTGAACTTCCCTTTTTAACATTCACATACAGGCGTGTGTGTATGTATGCTTTTTATCATTCAGTACAACAATATGCAGGGTTTTAAAACAAACACAATATAGTAACGTCTCAATAGTAATTATATATTAATTATTTTATGCTTCTATTATCTTATTTTCTTTCTCAGGTATCTTTGACTAGGATTCACTCTCTCTATCTCTCTCTCTCTCTGTCTGCTGCCTCCCCCTCTTTATTTGCATCTCCTGTGCCCTGGGGCACCATGGTATCCTAATCCTTCAAAGTACTAAACTGTAAGTTTATCTGGAACTTCAATGTTAAACTGTCCACTCAAAGTTAAGCTCAAATCTGAACATCTTTAAACACTTCCAGCTCAACGAAAATCTTAAACTAAATCAAGACAAATTATTTTATCCCTCATTTGAACTTGATGCATCCACAGAAAATAAAAAAGGCTAATAAAAAGTAAAACGTATGTTAAAACTATCAGATAATAAAAC